AACTATAGAAAATTAATCTGATGCTCGCTAGTGACTTGCTACAGGATGGAGTTTCCTGGAGTTCTAGTGAGAAGTCGTGACCAGTGAGGTCCACCCAGATGTCACGTGTGAAGATGGATGTCTCACCGACGACATTGGTTGGTGTTCGCGCTAAATCACGAATTGGTAGAAGTTAGAATTCATGAACTGGCCATTGAATCGGGTCCCAGTGGCTGAATGGTATACGAGTTAGCTTGCCTTGTAACCGGTAGGTCCTGGGTTTGAACCCCTGTGGGTGGGTGCGTACTTCCGATGATTCCCAAACTAGGATGGAGGAAACAGCTGTCCAGTAATCCAGTACCGGTTTTCAATGGTTCTCTAACTGATATCAATTCGTGATCAACTCGTAAAAACAAAACTAACCCTTACAAACCAAACTACGTAAAATTATTTATTTATTTTTAAAGATAGGACATAAATGGTCTATAGGCCTAATGCTAAACATTCCCACATATTATGGCATTTGCAGAAGGTAAAAACTATTGCTTTCTGACAAAAAGAGATAGACAAACAGAGAGCTAGACAGACGGAGAGAGAGATAGAAACGAAAGAGCAATAAAAGCACCGAGATAATGAGTAATTTCAATCTACGCCATTTCTAAAATAAAAATGTCAAAAACATGGAATACAAACAATTTTGCGACAAATGATGAAAAAGTATTGAGAATGTTAAACATGTCGAATAGTCTGTCATTTTAAGGTTGATTTTTTTTTTACTAAAGAGGATAAGAAATATCTAGATCATTGAATCTCTTATTTTATTTTTTTTTTTTAAAGATGTCTACCGACGTATGTTTGTGTATATGTGTATAATAGGTACCTTAGTAAATTGATGATGGAAGCTATTCATTCAGGTATGTGCATATATATGAGGCAAAGAAGAAAGAAGACAGTTAAATAATTTGTTGGTATGCCTACATGTATTGTTTATCCGAAAAAAAAATCAAACTTTGAAATAACTGATTCGTTGAATTTCCCAACTCTACTATGTACTATATGCACGCACAAGCAGCTTTCCAGGTGGCTTAAGAACAGTTAGTGAACTAGGAAAGGTTTAGTCTGGCAAGATTGAGTCTTAACACATTATGAACAGTATTTTTTTGATTATAGCTTGGTTCCACACCGTATTTTTGGTACAAGTATGGAATTTTCAGCATACGATATCGGTAGCCCAAATTTTCAGACCGACCATAGATATCAGGTGTACGTCGGCAGGGGATCGAACGCCGGACAATATACATGATCGACGAGAGTCCTAACCGCCGTGCCAACGACACACATGCTACTTCAGAATTTCATCAACACCTGCCTTCTCTCGATACTGACGATAAGATAGATAGACAGAAAGAATAAGCAGCAAGGAACTCTGACAGGTAACAAACCAACCAATAAATATGTAGAATGAAATTGAAATGGATTGATTGGAAACATTGAGAAGACTGTTAAGTGACATCACACACCAGGCTCTTGACTGAAACCCGAACGGAAATCAACGAGTTAGGCCTTCGTCTATGAATGACATGGAGGAGATTAAAGCTTGTGAACCCCCGTGGAGCCAGTTAAAAGGACTCTAGAGATTAGAATAAAATAGCTACGGGTTGTTGAAGCTACATATTCAAAAACCGGAACCTAAGGGAATAATAATAATAATACACAAGTAACTAGTTTTGTTTTGATGATGAGTAAGTGTCAACTATGAATATTTCAAAGACTGAATGGCACTAAACAAGTGTTGTTTTGTTGCAATTTGAATTTCATCAGTCAAGTGGACATTCCCTACTACACACGTTCATGCTTAGGACATTTATACATGTGTAATTACGATGTTTCCGGGGTTTGATTCCCGAGAACGCACTCCTTTACCTCGCTTAACCAGAAATACTGCTGGTGAAGAGGAAAGGTTGGGCATGAGGCTAGAAACCCATCCTGTAAAAAATAAACACTGCTACAGAAACTTCAAGCCACAAGCTTGAAGCCCTATATTCTACTGGGGAACGTGAAGGAGAAAAAAATTACCACGTTTCAAGAGTTTAACTACGTATTGCATAATAAACGTACGCAATAAAATAATAATGATTTATTACAAACGGATGCTGAACGCTAGGGATTACTGAACAGCTGTTTTGTTAACCAATGGGTCGTGGGTGAGCACAATTGAAGAGTCTCATACTAAGACAAAACAACTGTCCATTGTTTCCTGATATTCAATAGTTGGTTAAATTATGTCAGCTGACGAAAAGATCAAATTCCTACTACCTAAAAAACTTGAACAAACGAATACTCCAGTTAACTAGATCGCCTTTATAGAAGAATGACTGATTGATTGACACAATGGACAAACTCACGCATAACTTAGCACAGAAGTATACCAATTCAAGTTTCCGCACTTCAATACAAGACAAAATAGTCTTTAAAAGAACAGTTAGGGAATAGTACCACAGAAAAGACAAACACAAGTACGATGAATCGAACAATTAAATGACGCTTGGTGAACATTTTCAGAATCCAGAACACGATCAGTATCAATGGTTTTAAATCATGTATAAGTATCACGACGATCTCAGTCACTTGATCTAAAATTCTCTACGTGGTTTACATCAATAGTCGGTGATTTTATGGTTCGGTGACATATTTCGGTCTCAAAAGATTCTATCTTCTATGTAGATAAATCTTAATTCAGGGAACATCATCTATCGAGGAAACTGATGGCTCGACATATATGCTACGTGTTCTAACCACTTTAAACGATCCACACCTTCACAGTACAAGTCAGTCAGTACAGTCAGACTCCATTATGGATAAGATTTTATTTTGATAAGTCACACAGTGTTGTTATACAGTAATATCAACTGATAACGTTTCGAGCACAAACTGTTACTGCTCATAATCATATCAAGTTACTCACACAACTTTTCCCTTCATTTATATACATGTGTGGAATCGATTAGATATTGGAATAAAAATCAATATGAGATAATGTACATTCAGAAATAATAACATTAGTGTTATTTATCAATTACAATCAGATGGGAAATAAGAGTGTAGTGAGAGATGGTTGCTAGCCACATTGGTTGACAGTAATTGAGGTCAAAGGTCAAGATGGACAGGCGGATACAGTTAACATATAGATGAACTGACACAGCAACAAGAGATGCAAGGTTAACTTTGTGTGAGAAACAACCAATCAACAGACTCTACTAACATTAACCTAAAATAATGTACATCAAAATCTATAAATATGTGTTGATTTTCCTTAATAAACGATCTGTTGCCTGGCCCTTGTCTTCTGTTGTTACAAGAGGAGTGTTTTTATAGTCAAAATAAGTAACTTGTTAGAATGTTGTGATGTGCTTGAATTGAAATAGAATTTTAAGATTATTTATTATCCTCTTCTGACTTGACTGGTGGTAATAATATGAGTGTTATTGATCCATTACAATCAGATGGAAAAAGCTCAGCAATTGCACTGCATGCATTAACACACAACCACATAATAGGGTGGGAGAGGGTTAAGATTCTAAGAAGTACGTGGAGAGAGAGATTGATTACTGAATCCTGCTTCATTGAGTCTACACCCAACACATGCAACAGAAATGACTCAATGCAAATACCAGAGATATGGAAGATATTATTACCAACAGTCACATCAGAGGAGGATAATAAATAATCTTAAAATTCTGTTTCAGTTCAAGTCCACCAAAACAAGTTACATCTAGCAAGTTACTTATTATGACTATAAAAACATTCGTCTTATTTCCCACCTGATTGTAATTGATTAATAACACTTGTATTATTATTTCTGAATGTACATTATCCTATGTTGATTTGTTATTCAAATATCTAGTCAATTTCACTCATGTATATGAATGAAGGAAAAAAGTTGTGTGAGTGACTTCATATGATTATGAGCAATAGTTTGTGCTCGAAACGTCATCAGTTAATATTACTGTACAACACTGTGTGATTTGTCAAAATAAAATCTTATCCATAATGGAGTTATACTCTACCACAATCCCCACGTTTTTACTTATACAAGTCAGTTTACTTTCCCTTTTGTTCAGCAATAGCGTAAAATATCTTTAAAAAATACGCGAGTAGCTTTTAATTTTGTAATAAACACGTTCCAGATATGCAGATGGGACATAAATTTATATGCTGCAAGGAAAGGCAATTGAGAATTTATTTTTTTAGTCGAAAACATTTGTAGTATTCACCTTATATATTCAATCAACAAGAAGTATGAAACTGATAAGTAAACTTCTTGGAGTCTCCTAAAGGAGATTAAGAGTTACTGTTGCGTGACAACAGAACTCAGGAGGCAACTAACTGCTCAAGGCAAGTCAAATACTGTCTATCTGGAGGTAAACTTCCAACAGAAGACCTTACCTCCAGTTACCGACTGCTGTAGGATAAGTCAGGATGTAGAATTTTTGTGGTCGATCTTTTCTAACCATCTTCATTAGAATCATGGCTGGCATAATGGTCAATCGAGAGAAACACGACTTCTCCTTGGGATCTAAAAACATGGTGTAGACAACTTGGACTAAGACGGTAGCCAAAGAGAAAGAGAGAGAGAGAGGGCGGAATTACTTACTATTGAAGAGTCCTAAGTTGAGACAAAAAGTAAATTTAAAATGATTTCATTTACTGAAAAAGAATTTTTTTTAAATAAATAAAAGCTAAATAATGAAAAACAAGATAAAAGAATTTTAAAAAAAAACTGAGCAAAATGTTGATCGAATTCGAAGTAGTAGTAATATGCACTCAAGTGGTCAACTACTATTTCATGCATATAATAAGCATTTCCAAAATAAGTGTATACACCCCCCAATTGAAATTTCCCTCCATTGAATGGCATACATCAAAAATAGTTAAATACAAAACAAAAACAAAAATACTAGCAGCAGCAGCAACAATAATAATAATAATAACAACAACAAGCGGCGTATAAAGTCAATTACCATTTTTGAATAATCTCCACTCATTCGAAATACATCAATTACTGTATCCAAACAAATATGCAAAGATGGGATAGCTTGAGCACTGATTGGGATCAAAGCACGAGGATATGTCTATATGCGTGAAAATAAATTAAAAGAAAAACTTAGGATGAACAGAAGGATAATAAATTAGGGAATAATTCAGTAGGCTGTTGGTCATGAACAGTAGAGTTTACTTTACAACAACAGCACAATTAAGTCAGTAAACAGAATCATGCAATGATAATAATAATGAGCAATTTCAGTGTAGATTTCATCCTGAATCAACATCAGTTAAAATAACCAATGAAAGCAACGAAAAGTACCAAACAGATGAACTGTCCTACTTTGGGAATCTTCAGAAGTGTACGCCGTCGGGGATGGAATCACGGAACTTCCAGGTTACGAGGCGAACCCGTTGACCATTCAAGCAGCGGAACAAAATCCAATGGTTTATGAATTCTAACTCCTAACGACTTAGGAGACAAGAGAAAATTTGAGTAAAGAATATTCTTGTCGATAATTTCCTCTTCCAGCTCTACAGTTATATATATGTATATATTTTTACGAGTTGATCACGGATTGATATCAGTTAGAGAACCGTTGAAAACCAGCACTGGAGTACTGGACAGCTGCTGTTTCATCCGTCCTAGTTCGGGAATCATCGTCAGTACGCACCCACTACAGAGCTTCGAACTCAGGACAAGGCAAGCTAGCTGGTATACCATTCAGCCACTGGGACCCGATTCCATGGCCAGCCCATGAATTCTAACTTCTACCAATTTGTGATTTAGCGCGACCCCAACCATTGATTCCCAAACTAGGATGAAACAGCTGTCCAGTACTCCAATGCTGGTTTTCAATGGTTCTCTCACTGATATCAATCCGTGATCAACTCGTAAAAACAAAACTAACCCTTACATACCAAGCTATAGAAAAAAAAATATATGTACATGTTCGTCGATGGTTCAGAGGTAGAACGCTCGCCAACCACGCATGTGGTCTAGAGTGCGATCAGCGGCCGACGCGCTCTTAAACCTCCTTAAAGCCGGTAAAAAGGAAAGGTTGCACGTGACTCGACCGCGTAAAAAGAAAAAACAAACAAACCAATGCTACTTAAAATTCAAAGCTTCTAGCTTGAAGCCATGTGCTTCAGTCGGCACGTAAAGGAATAAAATAAAAAGGTAAAAGAGCCAATATCACCACTGGTGAGTAGTTATCATCACAACCAAACTGGGAAGATCCCATTGGTCACAGCTTCCCATAAGAAATTCCTTGAATTACTTTCAACCAGGACTCAAAGTATCTGAATTGGTGATAAGGAGCTGGCCAACTTTTAAAAATATTAAGAAAACGTTATGCTGTTGAAAATCCCTAATTCTGTTCATAATCATAAAATAAGTCTGAATTATTGTTTTCGCAGACTGATATTGTCGAACTATCAATTTTCACGCTATTTGTCGAGGCTAAAAAAACACACTCGTTGTTTGTTAACTCTCTCTAAACTTATCAGTGTTTGTCACGGACGGTCATTTAAAACCTATATATATATATATATAATATATATATATAGGCATATTCTGTCAGCATTGTTATCAATTATTTTCACTATTGTTTGAGACACCTACAAGCTGTCATGTCAACCATTCATCTTCTCTTTTGTTTTCGCCTACCTATGGCATTTATATTGTTATTGTTGTTGTTGCTGTTATGATAGACATAGTATACAAGCTTCTAAGATGAAAATCTCAAAACGGAAAATTCCTTTTTACTATAAAGAAAAAAAGATTGTTGCGCTTCAGCTTGTATTAACCAAATGAAATTCTAGACTAAACAAAGCGAAAAGACTGATTGACTGACTGGTTTCAACGTAGAACTTTGCACAGATATGCAGCAGTTCCAGTTGCCACACTCCCTCCATGTAGCACACAAAGTAAGAGAAGAAAGTAAAAAGAAATCCAAAAATAGAGACAGTAAACAAAGATATGAGGCGAAAAAAATAGTAATATCGAAGATGTATCTGGGCCAGCCATTGAGGACGATCACTTCGAGCCATATCACCAATTGTCTCCAGCCCTCATTGGTTCTCACCATCCCGAGGACCCCAACCAGTCAGTCAGGAAGTCTACACTCCCCACGTGACCGACAGGCTGATTCTTTTCCAACCTGATCCATTCTATCTCAGTCAGTTAACACTACCCGTCAAGGAAGGCGATGGCTAGGCATACGTAACACATGGCTTAACTAGGTTCACAGCCTTGTCTATTGATTTCCCCCTTCTAAGCTAGGACACGATGCCTAATATTAATATTGCTGAATACACAATCAACTGATCGCATTCAAAACAATAACAACAAAAAACCAAAAACCAAAATGATGACCAGAGCTTATCACAACTGTTTTCTTGATAAACCTTTTTTTTAAATCATCACATCAAGGTGTTAAAACAAAACAAAACAGACAGAAGCTACAATTATCAGTTGACATAATCAGAATATGGATATAAAAATAGTGTCAAGAAAAAGTACAAGTTGATGTATGACATCGATAACTCTGAATGCACCTTTACTTCAGTCGTAGTATTTTTTGTCTTTTTTTCTTTGGAAACGTTCTACTACTCTTCATTTGAAAGCGATTTTGACAGGAAACAAGAAGAAAAATGAACAAAACAACAATACAACACGCCAACAACAAAGAAACAAACAAAAGATAAACGAGTTGTTTCATTCAAATTAGGCGTACTTCTTTTTATGTTTTTATTTTCTCCCTTTCACTTGGTTTCTTACACTGTATTTGAGAGATCGTGAAAAATTTGCATATTTGTGTATTTTTGTTGTAAAGTCTTAAGTTATTTCTTTCGATTTGAAATATCTACTTTTGTTAAGTGTATGATCAAAAGAAATGTACACACAGGAAACAATAAACTGGTTGCGTAATTTTTCTCTCTCTCAATATGATATGAGGAAACAAGATAACAACATTTGAATGACACTCTAACCACCACTGTCTGAACCCCTCTAATAATATATATAAGTGGTAGTATCGTGGTGTGTACTACTGAAAAGATTTATCAGCAGTATATAAAGAGTCGTTCATCGGTATAAAAATATTAAATAGCAAAGAAATGAACCAGTATTACGGCAAAACATGGGAGACACGAAAAGAAGTCAAAGCAACACAACAAGAAGGGCAGAAGTAGCACGACATCGAAGAGTTGTGCAAATGAAGATTTGAACATACATACATGGCATACATAATTTCGTGCGACGGTGGCATAGCGGTTAGAACGCTCGCCGACCATACACATGGTCCGGGATTCGATTCCCGGCCACCGACGCACTCCTTTACCTCGCTAAGCCAATATTTAAAAAAAGCTGGTAAAGAGGAAAGGTTGGGCATGAGGCTAGCAACCCCATCCTGTAAAATCAATCACCACTGCTACAGAAACTTCAAGCCTCTAGCTTGAAGCCCTATGTTCCACTGGGAACGTGAAGGAATAAAAAAATACATAATTTCCCTTTATGTGTCTGTCAGATTACAAGTAAACATTCCGTTACCAAGTGTCTTGTCTTCTCCCGTTACAGCAGTAGTAGTAATAATAGAATACTTACTATCTCTTAGGTCAATAATTCGTGGAACGTCGCACACACACACACACAAACAAACACACAATTCCACATTTGCCGAAGAAAATCAGCAGTTTTCATTTGGAATTTACACAACTGATAGGCGGAAAAGAAATATACGGCTTGACATTTGAAAAATCAGTATCGACAGAGTCAAAGAGATGTCGCACGAAATAATGATTATTTCTTGAATGTATAATATATATATGACTTCATTCTTTTTCTGTTCTTCTTTGACGAAGAAAAAATTTGAACAGGACAGTGTGCGGAGAATGATGATGTACTGTCTTCCTGAGAAAGCGCTATAGACTACCATGCAGATGAACAATAAAATAAAACATTTTTCCTCCGTTTTCCAAAGCAAAAGGATGGAGACAAATCAAAGTAGGGGAAATAAACACACGCAAACTGGATTAAACGGAACAAAGTTTCTTTTCGTATCAAATTTTGCCAACCATATATATATATATATCCCAGAACCGTTTATTATTATATATTCCTAATACCTTGGGTCCTGAGTGAAACATGTAGCTTCAGCAGTACAGAGTGATTTCACTCGATTATCTGCCGGCCTTTTCAGATGGCTTCACGATTGCTCATATGCTCTCATCTCCTCCATGTCACTGTCTAACCAACAATCAATTATTCGTTTCCCATTCAGCTTACACTCGAAGGTCTGGAGCGTGATGTCACTCAAATTTTTCCTCAGGGTGTAACTTATCCGTCTCCATTTCTTCCTGCATATTTGTTAAGCAATGGGGGTTATTGTTTGCTTCGTTGCCGAAGTTCTTTTGTTACTTAGCCTTCCTGGACATCTAATCTTCAGTATCGAGACAGAGAAGACAGTTGGTCAGGAAAATCATTAGTCTATCGGCAATGCTTTGGTCTCTGAACCATATAGAAGCATTGACTGATTTCAAATTAGTGTTGAAAATCCAAATCTCGTTTTTTATTCTAAGTGCAGAAGATTTTCACACTGCATCCAGATCAATAGAGAACTGTTTTACTTTTCTTATTCTGCTTTTGAAATTCTCATCTGTGCCACACGCAGTTGAAACGATGCTGCGTAACGGAAGTGAAAGAAGTGACTCCCGTTGACAGTGATTGGTGCTGATTGTTGTTGCTATTGGTTAGTCATCTTCATCAACTCCTCCGTCTTCTCTATGCCTGTTGATTTTCGCCTGTACAACATCGAGTTTATCTAACATTAGACATAAATCAACCGCGAGGTTTAGATTTTTTAGAGTACTGTTGTTAATCCAACGTATGCAACATCACCACCCGAACCACACTCAGCATTAATAACCTTTTTCGACATGAAGTTCCGAGGATCTCAGTGAGAAACTATACCAGTTGAGGTGCAACAAATCAGATGGGAGTTCTGCTATATGTAGTAAATATTTCATAATAATAGACAAACCAACTGAAAAGAATCTGGATTAAATTATTTCGTAGGCGCATTGTCAATTATCAGTTAAATCAAGACTTCTCTTCCAACATTTAGTATTAATAGTCAATCAAATTAATAAAATCACCCAAAGGAAAACTAAAATTATTTCCCTTAAAGCAAAAAAGTGAATTTTTATTAAAAAATTATAATTTTTCATGTAAGAAAAAAAGATTTTACAAAAAAGAAAAGAAAATCAGAAAACCCTACTTACTTGCCAGACAATAATTTCAGCGAGAACAGGTTGAGCAATGAACAAGGAATGTATAAATGTACAAATTATAATGCGTATCTCTCGTAGAATACTAATTTCTGAGCCAACTTTCTATAATTTAAACCACGAAAAAAGAAACAAAATATAAACGTGAAAATGAATAATTGAAAGAGTAATAGAACTTGTGCACTGTGGTAGAGTATAATTTCATTGTGGGTAAAATTTATTTTGAGAAAGTCTCACACAGTGTTATACAGTAGTATTTACTGATAACCACTTTTCGAGGAACAGTTTATTACTGTTCATAATCATATCAAGTTACTCACACAGCTTTCCAACTTCGTTTATATGACTTGACTATTTCTCATCTCTTGATTTCATGATTGGTAGTGTGAAGAAGACAAGACTGAGGAGACTGAAAGGATTGTTTATTTGGTGAAACGTATGGTACATAGCTAAATTTGGAATACCATATTCTAAACCGGCCATTTGCACATCTTCACCACATCCTTGACGAATTGGTCGAATATCGTCTCATTCGATAGCTTCTTGGATTCTGCATCATATGGCAACATTCTTCTCATGGTTCTCTTCTTTGATTGCTCTTTTCGGTGTGCCAAACATGTTGTTACTTCGTTCCTGATATACTACTTATATCGGATTATAAGTAGCACTCACCACACTCGCCCCCTCATTATAAAGTCTCTCCTGTAACCGCCTTGATCGCCGCACAGACGTTTCTTCCTGCTGCTCTTCTGGTACCTCATCTTGACATTCTTCTCTCCATCTTTGTAGCAGACTGGCGTTTACTCTTTTCTCTTTATCTCCTCTCTTTATTGTGTACACTGGACCGCGTCTCGATGTGACCACATATGGTCCCTCCCACTTCGGCAGAAGCTTTCCTGATCCTGGTCCACTTCCGGTAGTATACTTTCGTTCTCTACATTTCACCTGGTCACCTACTTCAAACAGCTTCCAAGCTTTGATTTGTTTCTTGCCATAATTTTCGATGTCTTTCTTGCGCTTCTCTTGTATATTCTGAATAGCTTGTTTCCGCTCATTTGTCCATCTCTTACTGTTCCATTTTTGTTGTGTTGGCCAAGTCTTATGGTGCACCGGTAAGCGTGGTTTCCTCCCATACATCAGCTGGAAAGGCGACTTTTTTGTTGTCCCTTGTACTGTGGCACGATGTGCTAGTAATACCAACGGTAAGTCAGTTTCCCAGTTGCCTCTTTTCGCAGCTAGCCACTCCTTGAGTGTACGATTGTTCCTTTCGGTTAAGCCGTTTGTCTGCGGATGATACGGAGTCGTTCTAATCCTCTTAATACCCAGTGCCTCCAGACGAGTCTTGAACTCCTCACTTTCAAAACAGGGGCCTTGATCTGTCAATATCATTTTCGGTACACCATGATCCGCCACAATATGTCGAATGACGGCCTCGGTTACGGTCTTGGCGCGCTGATCTGGAATCGCTACAGCATTTACCCACCGCGTGGCGTGTTCCGTCATCATTAAAATGTATTGATTTCCACTTGCTGTCTGAGGGAAAGGACCCATTATGTCCACGGACCATAAGTCACCAACCGCCGTTACGGGTATCGTTTGTAGCTGCGGTCGAATGCACCGATCACCCTTCATCAATTGACACTGTGGGCAAGCGAGTACGTAGTTTGCAATATCGCCTCTCATGTTTGGCCAGTATGCACTTTGGCTCACTAGGTCGTATGTTCGTGTAACTCCTGTATGGGCTAGTTGGTGGCATTCTTGAATGACCCCACGACGAAGGCTTTTTGGTATCACTGTAACCCAGCTACCATCACTGTCTTTCCAAGTTAGGACGCCGGCAGCGTTTAGTTTGAGTCTATGTTTTTGCTGCAGTAGCATCTTTAACTCTTTATTCTCTGCTGCCATTTCAATTTCTTTCCCTTCACGTATCATCTGCATGACTGTCTTAAGAGTAGGATCCGACTTCTGGTGGCGAACAAGTTGTAAGGGATCTTGCTCCAAAGCGTTTACTGCATACGCTACTTCTGGTAGTTCAGTCTCATTATCTGATCTCGACAAATAGTCAGCTATTACATTTTCTTTTCCTGGAATATGTCCAATCGTGAAGTCATACTCTTGTAGGCGTAACATCCATCGTGATAACTTCCCTCGTGGATCCCGTGCTGTTTTCAACCACTGAAGAGGTTTGTGGTCGGTCTCAATGTGGAATCGGCGGCCGATCAGATATGGTCTCCATTTTTCTAGTGCCCATACGATAGCTAAACACTCCTTTTCCACCGTAGAATACTTCTGTTCTGCAAGTGTCAACACACGGCTAGCGTATTCAACAACCCCATCTGTTTGTCTTAAAACAGCACCTATACCATAATCACTGGCGTCTGTCGAAACTGTGAACTGCTTCCCCGGCGCTGGCAGTTTCAACGTCATCTGTTGACCATCTAACAGCTCTTTAATTCGCTCAAACGTTTGCTGTGCCTCTGCCGTCCACATGAATTTCGCGTCACTCAGCAACGTATATAGCGGTTTAGCTATCTCATTGAAATTTTTGACAAATCGGCTGTAGAATGCCGCTCTTCCCAAAAACTGTCTCAGCTTTCGCTTTGAATTTGGCACTTCGCTGGTTTTGACCGTCAGGATTTTCTCCGGCAATGGCCGTATTTCGCCATTTCCCACTTTGTAACCCAGGAGGACAACCGTGTTTTTAGCTATTTGGGACTTGTGCTTATTAATACGCAGTCCAAAGTCATCAATTCTCTTTAAGATAGCTTCGATGTGGTCTATATGGTCGCTTTCTGTCTCACTATACACCACCAAGTCATCTCCATATACTTCTACGTTCTTCAGACCCTTCAGTAATAAGGTCATTAATCTTCTGAAGGTAAATGGGGCACCTACCAATCCAAATGGCATTCGTTTAAACTGGTATTGTTTCTGCCCGACTGTGAAAGCTGTTTTACTTCGATCACTTTCTGCTATTGGGATTTGCCAGTAACCCGATCGTAGGTCGAACACGGTGAATAACTTGGCTTTATGAAGGCGATCAAGAGTTTCTGTTACGGTAGGCATTACACACTGTTTTACTTCGGTGAGGCTATTCAGCTGTCTGAAGTCGACACAAAATCTATATTTCCCGTTAGCTTTCTTCACCAAAAGGATTGGCGAACTGTACGGACTGTCGGCTTCTTCGATTATTCCGTCGTTTAACATTTCTCTGACTTGTCGGTTAACTTCTTCTTCAAGGTGAACCGGAACTCGTCGCGATGAAAAGACTGTCTTCCCCGTATCCTTCAGTGGGATGTTATGCTTTACCTTATCACAATAACCGTATGGGTCTCCATCACTAGTGAATAAACCGGCATATTTACTCATCAACGTGGTTAGACGTGGTGCTTCTTGCTGAACAATGGTTGTGGTTTCCACCTCAGCGACTTCACTATTCTCATGTATCGCGAATTGCCCGTGTTTTGTGACCACTTTTCTATTCTTCATATCGATTACAGCTCCTACTTCTCTGAGAAAGTCTGCTCCCAAAATCGTTCGTCTTATATCAGAAGTTACAATAAACGGATATCGTATTTTTCCTGCTCCAATCTCTACAACGCAGTCTGAAACGCCAAGAATGTGCAACGGATGTCCTCCTACCGTCTGAACTGCTAATGTGCACGGCCTTATTTCCTTACACTGTTCTCTACCTATCAACGAAACTGCCGCCCCTGTGTCGATCAAACAAACTATTTCTTTTTCGTTCACTCGTAATCTCCCGTACACTGAACCTCTTTCGACCAACCCGACCACCTCTAAACGCGAGCGAGAAAAAGAAGGAAGACTGTATCGTTTAAGGTTTTTCTGCCTTCTTTTCGGGCAGTTTCTCTGCCAGTGACCGGTTCCTCCGCAAGCAAAGCATCTGTTGTTTGTTTTTTTCTTTATCTGCATAGCTGCCACCTGTTGTTTCAACTCTTCAATCTGGTCTTCAATCTTCTTGGAATCTTGGCCCTCCGACATCACTGGAGCAACATGCGAGGTCATTATCTGCCTTGTCACCTTGGCCATTTCATAGACATCCATTGGCTGAGCTGCGTCAACTAGCTGCAACTGATGAGCGATATCTGTCGGGACGCATTCGAGGAACTGAGATGCCAGCAACTGCTCCCGTGAATCTTCGTCTAGGGTGGGTAACGCGCGTCGCAGGTGATTCGTCAGCGTTACTGCGAGAACCAACGGATCCCCATCCTGGCCAAGTCTCAGCGTCCGAAACTTCTGCAGCGCCTCTTGTCTGTCCGCAGGGCTGTCGAACTCGCACACGAGCCTCTCGACGACCTTGTCCCACGCCGCCTCACCTTCCAGCTCCCGAGCGTTGTCGTACGCAGCCTTCGCGCGGCCCCTCAGCAGCGTTCCCAAGACAACCAGCTTCGCCTTCTGCTCCTGCACTCCAACCAGCTCCGCGACAGCTTCGAAGTCCCTGAGGAACGTCCGCACATCTCCATCCTCGAACACCTGCGGCCACGGCACCTTCATCTCCGACAGAGGCAGCGACACCAAATGTGAAGAAGACAAGACTGAGGAGACTGAAAGGATTGTTTATTTGGTGAAACGTATGGTACATAGCTAAATTTGGAATACCATATTCTAAACCGGCCATTTGCACATCTTCACCACATCCTTGACGAATTGGTCGAATATCGTCTCATTCGATAGCTTCTTGGATTCTGCATCATATGGCAACATTCTTCTCATGGTTCTCTTCTTTGATTGCTCTTTTCGGTGTGCCAAACATGTTGTTACTTCGTTCCTGATATACTACTTATATCGGATTATAAGTAGCACTCACCACAGTAGTAATATTTTCCATATTTCTGGTATAGTTGATGAGTCATTCCTATTAAACAATATAATCTAAGCATCACAAAAATTACTTATTTAGTAGTGATTGGCTGTAGACTAAATCAGATCTGTTTCGTCCCACTTGCAACTCTTCAGTTAGTTGTGCCGACACTCCCCAGTGAGTGATGATTTCACAGATTTCTTTCTGAAACCTTTTAAGACTGGTTCCTCAATGCGTGGAGGTGAGAATCTTTAACTAATCCACCAAAACAAGTGATTTGAGATAAAGACACAGTATCATTAGTTTTATGAGGGTGAAGATTTAGGCGGGGACGGAAGGTCAATCAATGAGGTTGTGAAGCTCTATCAATGGAGATACCTTGAACGTATGTTATGCAGATCAAGCCACCTCCTTCGTCATCAACCGGTAACAGCTGACATGCAGTCGGATTGGGAAAGCATTAGAGGTGAAATCAATCCATGGAATATTTTATTTCTCAATTCTCTATAATTGGTTTGTCAGGATTTGTGTGGTTTTTACGAGTTGATCACGGATTGATATCAGTTAGAGAACCATTGAAAACCAGCACTGGAGTACTGGACAACTGTTTCGTCCTAGCTTCGGAGTCATCGGCAGTACGCATCAACTACAGAGGTTCGAACCCAGGACCTTCCCGTTACAAGGCAAACTCGTATATTATTCAGCCACTGGGACCCAATTCAATGGCTCATCAAGTGTTAGCAGTTTGTAGGGATTTGATTTGTCCTTCAAGTTTAAACACGGATTGATATCAGTAAGAGAATCATTGAAAAATTAATCTGATGCTTGCCAGTGACTAGCTAGCTTCAAGGACGAATTTGGCTGGAGTTCTACTGAGAAGAGGTGGCCGATGAGGTCCATTCCGTTGGGAGTGAGGACAAATACTCGCCAGAGATGACAGTGGCTAGTGGTTGCGCTAAAATCAAGAATTGATAGAAGTTAGAATTCTTGGACTGTCCATTGAGTTGGCCTTCCAATGGCTGAACGGTTTACGAGCTTATCTTGTAACTAACTGGAGGGTCCTAGATTCAACCTCCAGTGGGTGTGTACTGGCGATGAGTTCCAAACCATGACGAAACAAGTGTCCAGTACCCTCTGGTTTCCAATGATTCTCTAACTGATATCGATCCGTGATCAAACCTGAAAGGAATTTTTGACCGCTAGATTCAGACACGTGAGCGGATGTATGCTGCCTGGTTGAATTCTTCGAGGCTAGATGGACTGTGGGTGATATGGGTCAGAATGGTTCAGAATATCGTAGATGCAATCAGTTTTTATGAGCCCTAGACCGATTAAATTATTACTATTATAATTCTGACTTTGTCTCCCATACATTCCTGTTCATTATAACTACATTGCATTTATTCCGTTTTCTTCTTCTTTTATTTTAGCTAAGTACTTGGGCTATAAGATGTGAACGGACTGACTAAGCAATTTCATGTTAAGACATTTCAAAGCAGTACACATAAAAGTACAGAAAATGAATGTGATGAAACTACAATTAACGGAGATGTACGGCAACGCGGGGTGGGGAGGATAATTAAACTAGAATGAAGGGACATTTTCACAATCTCCATGGTTTTAAGGAGTGAGCGATCTTGAAGCATTTAATACAGTTTTCGATCCTTAGTACCCTCAAAGACCTTACAGTCAGAAAGTATACATCCTTTTACGTGGTTCAAACCAAAATTCGAGGATACTATGAATCTCTGATATAAGAATAGAACTTGTGCACTGTGGTAGAGTGTAATTTATTTTGATAAAGTCTCACACAGTGTTATACAGTGCTACTTGCTGATGACAACGTTTCGAGCACAATTTATTACCGCTCATAATCATATCAAAGTACCCACACAACTTCCTAACTTAGTTTAATATAATTCCATTATTTTTCATCGCTTGACTTGATTGGTAGTAGTATTTTCCATATTCCCGGTAGGAGTGATGAGAATCCTTAGTTCTCAATAAAGCACGAATTAGAGTGGCATTTAAACCTACAAACTCACTCAGGTAGGACAATCTCTGTAGACTAAAGGACCCAGTTGACCTAATTAGACAAAATAATATAATGTACACAATACCTTCCAATGACTGTGAGTTAAGTCAACTATATAGGTCAAACTAGTAGATCAGGAAGGAGTAGTCAGATTATCAGAACATTAGAATTTAGCTAAGGTTAGAATGATTGATGCCACCTGTGAAGATAAGTAATTCAAAAAAAAGCTCAGCAATCACACTGCATGCATTAACACACAACCAAACAATAGGGTGGGTGCGACAGAGTCAAAAAATCCTAAGACGTAAATGGGTAGGTGGAGAGAGAAGCGGTTGATTACTGAATCCTTGTTCATCGAGTCTACACCCAACACATGCAACAAAAGTGACTCAACGGTAAACTGTACACTAGCGTTTATAAAAAGCCAAAACATTCTAACGGATGTTTAGACTTTGATTCATCTCAGCCGTCATCTGCAGAGGCAGGCTGAGTTAAGTGTCTAACAAACCGAGCTATAATACTAAGTACTACATCAAAAAACCTAAATGATGGAATGAAACAGATAGAAGAAGCGTTCTTGTTCAATAATTATCCTATAAGGTTCTTTACAAAGACCAGAAAACATCGAAAGCAAAATAAAAATAATGGTGAAACCAATAATAACATAAGAAATAATAAAAGGCATCTACAGTTTAACCATAGGGAGGGAACATCCTTTTACTGTGTGATATAGCGAATAAACAAATTAATATGGAATAATTGTAGACCAATTGACCCCGCGAAGATAAGTAATTTGGAAAAGTGCTCAGCAATTGTACTGCATGTATTAACACAACCACACAATAGGGTGGGAGGGACAGAGTTGAAATTCTAAAAAGCAATATATGTAGGTGGAGAGAGAGGTTGATTACTGAATCGTTGCTCATCGAATCTACACCCAACACATACAATAGGAATGACTCGTCACTGATACCAGAGGTATGGAAAACACTACCACCAATCAAATCAAGAGATGAAAAACAATAAAATTATATAAACGAGGTCAGGAAGTTGTGTCAGTAACTTTTTTATATGTTTATGAGCAGTAATAAATTGTGCTCGAAACGTTGTCATCAGTAAGCAAGACTGTACAATACTGTGAGACTTTATCAAAATAAAAATTTATCCACAATGGAATTCCAGGAATCTCTACTATTTTCTACGTCGAAATGAAGCTGTTATGTCACTACCAATATCTGAAAACATAGTTTGTAACAAGCCACTCAGTCGGATAACTAATTACTCTACTGCCTACAGAAATTTATACGAAAAATTTAACAATAATAAATCTGATTACGTTGAATTTTGAAACTGTGTGTGTGGGCATCATCAATTTTGTTCATTTTGTCGCATTCTCAGTAAAACATAGGGGCCTCAAACTTTGAAGGTGCCGTGGTGGTTAACTAGCCTCACAACCAACTTTCCCTCTCTCTCTCTTTTCTAGACTTACTATCAGCTAGTTAGTTAACTAACGACCAGGAATTGAACTCGGAACGCTTGCGTAGTTGACAAACATTCTACTATTGAACCACGTCCGTGGTGGTTAACACTTACTTAAACAACGGACAAGTGAACTCACCTTTTCCTCTTCTGTAGGTAAACAATATTCAAGTAATAATTGAACAACAGCTGAATCTTGTGTTAGCAGCATACTAGAGCACAGACGTTCACAATCTTCATTATTTACTAATAATTGTGGAGAGATATTTGCTTTATTATTATTATTATTACTACTACTACTACTGCTATTGAGTAATTGTGTTGATGATGATGTAGCATTGGTTGTAGCAGTTACTGTTGTACAAGTAGTAGTAGAAGCACCAGCAGCAGCAGTAGTCATCATAGTCCCCTGATGTTGTCCTAGATCAGTAGATTTAGAAGAGGAGGAGGAGGAAGAGGGAGAACTACTAATAAATTTTGAATAATTAGTAGTTGTAGTTGTTGTTGTTGTATTGAGTGTATCTTGGTTAGATGGATCAGTAGTATTCGATGTAGAAGTAGCAGTAGTAAGAGACGCAGAAGAGGAAGAAGAAGAACCTGTAGATGTTTCAGTTGCATTAGTCGAATTCCCTGAAGCGAACGCTGACGTCGTCGTCGACATCATCATCATCATTGCTGCCGCTGGTGTATTTGTAGACGACGAGGACGTGATATTCGTAGTTGAATTACTCGAATTTGTTCCACGTACAGATTGAACCCGATCAATAAGTCGATGTGCCCAGTATGATCTAGAGGCTAGAAGACTTGATTCAAGAATACGCAGGAATAGGCGTAAAACTGATGGACATCTGAAAGATAAAAGGGGTAAATATAAGAAAGAAAAAAGAAGCCATTATTGCTGATCCTTTTAAGAATCAAAAAATGAGAATATTTATTTATCATTTGAACAGTTAAATAAAGCATTAATGTCACAGAGCAACCTAAGAAGATGCAATTTCCGGTTTAAATCTCACTACTCCGCCTAATCCATCTCAAACAACTGGGTTGGTATAAATCAGTCCTTATACACACAAACACCTATACACAATACTATTATTATTCAGGTGTCGGTTTGTAGGGATTTGGTTAGTTTCAGTATTTCATCATGAACTGACACTGGTTAGAGAACTATTGGAAAACCTGTGAGTACTGGACAGTTGTCTCAGCCTAGTTTGGAACCCCAGTGGGTGCATACCGATGCAGAGTCTCAAACTTGGAAAAAACAGCTGTCCAATAGTTCTCTAACCGATGTCAGTTCATGATGAAATTATTATTATTATCATTCCCTTGGGTCACCCTGACCTCTGCTGTCGATTTTAGCTGGCTACACACGATTGCCCATCAGCTGTAATCTTCTCTTCACATAACCTCCTGCATAACATATAACACGCTCAGACTAATACTCAACTCGTCGTATATTGTTTCGATTTCACCACTCAGGTGTCTAGAATACGATGTCACTTAACGGCCTTCGACAGCGCCGATCGAGAGGTGCTTTGGCAACTACTTCGCTACTACTGGGTGCCGCCAACAATTATACATCTCATCCAACAGCTGTACGACAATGCTGCATGCCAAGTAATCCACAACGGGAAATTCACAGAATCCTCCGAAGTGAAGACGGGAGTAAGACAAGACTGCCTACAATCGCCAATGATTTCCCTGATTACAGTAGACTGGATAATGCGACAAACAGCGGGCAATGAAGAAACAGGCATACAATGGACTCACACAAAAAACTTGGAGGATCTGGACTTTGCCGATGATATATGTCTGATTTCCCACAAAGTGGGAGATATGCAAGCGAAAAGCAACAAGTTGGCAGAAGAAGCATCAAAGATAGGACTTCAGGTGAACATGGAAAAAACAGAGGTGATGAAGATTCCTGGCTAAAACCACCAACAGCAACAACAACAACAGACAACAATCAGCATAAATGGGAGAAATCTGAAATAAGCAACCTCCTTTACCTACCTACCTACTTGGGAAGCATTGTTTCAACTACAGGCGGAACTGATGAGGATATCAAAGCAAGAATCGGGAAAGCAAAACAAGCTTTCACTACTCTCAAGTCTGTGTGGAGGTCAACAGCACTCAGCATCAAAAATAAGATCCGGATTTTCAACTCCAATGTGAAGTCAGTGCTACTTACTATACGGATCAGAAACTTGCACTGCGCGTCATAAAGAGCACCTCAAACAAACTACAGACCTTCGTTAACAGTTGTTTTCGCTCAATACTCAGGATCACATGGCCAGAAAAGATCAGCAACAGGGATCTCTGGCAATGAGCGAACCAACCAGGAACCGATTGTGAAACAAATAGGCAGGAAGAAATGGAGATGGATTGGCCATACTCTGAGAAAACAAACCATCAAGTGACATCACTAGACAAGCCATTGAGTGGAACCCGAAAGGGAAGCGGCGAGTTGGTCGTCAGTGTAAGGGTGACTTGGAGGAGGTCATGTGAAGAGGAGATGAAAACGTGTGGGCAGACTTGGAGCCAGGTGAAGACTCTAGCAGAGAACCGAACGCAATGGAGACGCACGGCTGAAGCCCTATGTTCCTCTAGGAATTAAAGGAAATAATAATAATAAATAAATAAATACAAATATTAATGTATCAATGCTATTTCGGCGTATCCCTCTTAAAACAATATTCTTGACTGAAGTCAGGAAAACAAATAATTAACAATTCAGTTCGATTCAGTTAACTTCATTTCAAGTAACCAACCATAAAACACAAATTTGAACCGACTAGTTAGTTAGCTTTATAAGACAATCAACATCACTTCGAAACTTGAAGAATATTTCAAGTGAGAAAAAAAATTAAATTTAACCGCAACAAAAATCATAAAGTACAGCTGCAAATATATATATATATACATAAATTAAAACAAAATCTTTGAAAATGTTAGCTCCTGACTATAATTATTATTTATTTCCTCTATTTGTAACTGTTTTTTTTCTTCTTCAGAAAAACAATTAATTTATTGGCATATATACATAAATTTTAAATTATGTTACAAACACTTCAATGTTCAATGCTTGAAATAAATGAAATTGATAAATTAAAACACAATGTACACAATTCTATAATAGAATTAAGGAAAAAAAATATGCGTTTTGGAATTAGATAAATTTTTGCATTTACAAATATAAATTGAGTGTTCACGTTATATACTTAAAAAGGCTTGTAGGAAAGCAGTCAAGTTTGTTTGGTTATCACTAAATTCACCTGAGAGGTCTAATCTCTCTGTGTCTATGTATTTAATGTATACAACTGGAGTAGCCTTGAACAAAGTAAAGCCTACTATGTCAATGAGTTGTTGGCATTTATAGCTCCCGTAGAAAACTCATTTAGAAAAAAAAAAGTTGAATTCTTGAAGTAGAACTCTAATTAGTGTACTTTCTCAGAAATTAGAAACCACTCATCTCTAGACGAAACGGTTAGTTGGAATTTCAATGGCCCGAACAAGTCAAGTATGTGTAAGCCGAACCAACACCTATGGAAAGACTACTAATGGTGAGGTAAATAGCCTATAGAAATATTGTTAAAATGATCTCAACCTAGCTAGTAAGCGATAATCTAGGTTAATGTAGGTGCTTTCTATTATGAGAATGGAGGAAACTTCTCCTTTTTTGATTATAGCTTGAAACCACACCATATTTTTGGTACAAGTATGGATATAGGTAGCCCAAATTTTGCAGGCCAACCACTGATATCAGGTGTGCGTCGGCAGAGGATCGAACCCCGGACCATGTGCATGGTCGGCGAGATTCCTAACCACTGTGCCACCGACGCACATTTAAAAAAATACTGCACTGACATTAGGTTTTAATAAGCTATTCAAAAATTGCATGATAACCAGTTGTGTACAAACTCAAGTTCATTACTCACATAAGCCTATGTGTTTTTGAATAACTTAACTTTAGCAATGTGCCATATATTGTAAACACAAAATATGGTTGTACAATCATATTTATATTCAGTGAGAATTTCTCCAACTCTCTTAGTACATTCCCGAAAAACAGTATTTCACGTAATGAGAAGAGTAAAACAAGACAGATAATCTAGGAGTCGCATTACTCAATAGATACTAAAATCAAACATACATATTTAACACTGTCCACTGAATATGCAAAAAGAATTCATTAAAAATTATCTACAAAGTCAAAAGAAACCTTATGAGAACGATAAGCTTCCGTATACTTTGCATTGACAGGGGCCTTATAATTATTCGTTTGGAAAGCCCTGATTTCTATACACGAGAAGAAACTACACCATGCCTTCCCTCCTACCTTGGATGTAATTCCAAATACAACTGTTGTCAATATTTTGTGCATTTTTTTGTATGACATTTAGTATCATCATTTTCTTAATTAACCTTCTATATCCCACTATGGCTAAGTAAGGGTGTAGTTAAAACTATTAACAGCTCGATATTAGACCATCTGGTGCAAACCGGTCACAAAGCCAGCGTAGACGAATCCTTCTCCATAATATACCGGGTGCCTAACAAACTACCAAAATCGTCGAAGCACCGCTTGCTTCAAACAGCAGAGGCTATTGCAATTCGCCTCAAACAACCAGTGCTCCGTATCTATTCTTCTATTTACTCTTTTCACCTGCTACATAATTCATTTTGATACTTATCTCTATGGAGGATTTCATCATGAGCTGAAATCAGTTAGAGAACCACTGGAAAACCAGTCAGGGAGTACTGGACAGCTGTTTCGTCCTAGTTTGGGACTCTTCATCAGTAGGCACCCACCACCAGGGTTCGAACCCAGGACCTTCTGGTTACAAGGTCAGCGAGCTCGTAGACTATTGAGTCATTAGGACCCGATCCAATGGCACCATGAATTCTAACTTCTGCCAATTCACGACATAGCGCGACCATTTCGCAATGTTTTCTTCGATGAGTTACTGCCTCATCTTCAACCTGCTGTACTCTACTGGTCACTGCTTCCCACTAAAAGACCAGGTCACTGCCTGAATAGGGACAGTCGCTAGTGAGCATCAGATTAATTAATTTTCAATTATTGGTTTTTTGGCAGGGCTTTTATTTGATTGCATGGAGGATTACATCATGAGCTCAGCTAATCCTCCATCCAACCAAACAAAATCCCCTACAAAACCAATACTCCAAACTTATCTATATGTTAGATTCATTAAATTAATCTTGAATATTTTCATATTACGTGACCGTAGTCTAAACTCACTCATCGTCTAAGTTACAGTTTTGATTATTCATCACAATTTTGAAATATTTTGATGACGTAAACAATAACCCCAAATTAGTTTTTATTCTTGTTTGACAAACCTAATGTATCAGTTAGAGAACCATTGAAAACCAGCGAGTACTGGACAGCTGCTGTTTCATCCTAGTTTGGGAATCATCGTCAGTACGCACCCACTGGGATTCGAACCCAGGATCTTCCGGTTACAAGGCAAGCTGGCTCGTATACCATTCAGCCACTGGGACCCGATTCAATGGCAAACCCATGAATTCTAACTTCTACCAATTCGTGATTTAGCGCGACCCCAACCATTGTCGTTGGTGGGACATCCATCCACACACGTGACATCTAATTGGACCTCATAACTAACCCTTACAAACCAAACTATAGAAAATTAATCTGATGCTCGCTAGTGACTTGCTACAGGATGGAGTTTCCTGGAGTTCTAGTGAGAAGTCGTGACCAGTGAGATCCACCCAGATGTCACGTGTGAGGATGGATGTCCCACAGACGACACTGGTTGGGGTCGCGCTAAATCACGAATTGGTAGAAGTTAGAATTCATGAGTTGGCCATTGAATCGGGTCCCAGTGGCTGAATGGTATATGAGCCAGCTTGTCTTGTAACCGGAAGGTCCTGGGTTCGAAACTCACTACCAGTGGGTGCGTACTGCCGATGATTCCCAAACTAGGATGAAACGGCTGTCCAGTAGTTCAGTGCTGATTTTCGATGGTTCTCTAACTGATATATCAATCCGTGATCAACTCGTGAAAACAAAACTAACCCTTACAAACCAAACTATAGAAAAACCTAATGTACATATGCATACATACATCCATACAGAAAATAATTATTTTTATTATTACGATTATACAGCTAAGTGAATAAAATTCACCACCGACAATAAAAGAAGACTCTTCTCACTGAACTGTATGTTCTTATTCAATGTGAAAATGACGTAATCAATGAATATGTGGGATAAAGTGACCAAGACAGCAAGAAATGACGGTAAAACGTTTACATGATAAGGATAGAATGAAGTCAAAATTAATAAGAGAATAATAATAATGAAGTAGCAAAATTTAGACAGAGTCTTATTGCGCCAATATTATGATGAGGCGAGAGAGAGAGAGAGTGAGTGAAAGTATTTCTTTAAAACACGCAGACATCAGGTCTTAGGTATTGAATTCAAGTGTATTATATACACCTATAGCGTATTCGAAGTTCTCTAGCAAAATATTAGGTGGGTGGAGTGGTGGTGGTGGGGAAGTTACCGTTGACGAGGTGTTAGAGAGAAGAGCCACCACTGAAAAACTTTATATAAGAAATTAATTGAATACCATCCAACCTTCCATGTGTAGATACTGATGGTTAAGTAATGCGTCATCAGGTTCGAATTAACCTCCAAACACATACACGAACACACACACACGCACGCACGCAAACACATACGTTATGTGATGAATACTGTTGCATCAACACAAAACTTTGTTCATAGGCGTATACCGACAGTACTCTGTGTGACTGTAGAAACACGCAATGCAATTCAGACAGTCAGACAGAGAGGGAGAGAAGGAGAGATGAAATAAAACGCAGATCAAAAGAAGCCAAATGATAAATAAATACAGAAATAATAATAATAAGAGGAAAAAAAGGAAGGAAGAAAGAAGGATAACCAGTCGGCAACTGTAACAAAAGTCGGTATTGTATACTATATTACTAACACATTGTTCAGATAATAAAGACAGACTACTACTGGAGAAGAGAAAAGTTTACGTGTCTGTTTGGTATAACTCGTTAAACCTGATGATGACGATGATAATAAGACAAATGAGTTTTTAAAAAAAAGAAAAGCAATAACCTTAGCTGTGCCGCATGTTACTCACTAGAAATTTCAAGTAGTAGTTTTGTGTGTGAGAGTAGGCGGGTGAGGTGAGTGGGTTGGCATCATTGAAAACAATTAGGAAAGCCAAGTGATGGATGAGGTTACAGACAAAAGAGAAATGAATCAATTTTAGACAACGGTATGAAGCGAAAAAAAAAGTGAGAACCAGAAGAGAAATGCATAAAGAAGCGGAACAAGGTTAGTTTGTAAGCGAATTGGTGTTATTGTGTTTTCTGAACTAGCTGGTGATAAATAGAAGGTTTCAATGTCCTCCTTGACAGTAACTTCAGGATTAACTTTCAGCAAACATGGCTATCACACCAATCGATAATAAGTTTGATCACGGATTTATGTCAGTTAGAGAACTATTGAAAACCAGTAGGGAGTATTGGACAGCTGTTTCACTGTAGTTTGGCACTCTGAAGCAGTGCGCACCCACTAAGATTCGAAACCAGGACCTTCACGTTACAACACACACACACAAGCTTGTATACCATTCAGTTGTGCAATACTCTTTGGTTTTTAATGGTTCTGTAGTTGACAGCAATCTGTGAAGAAGAAATTTATATATCTCACAGATTAAAAGTTGTGC